TTGTGCTTTTACGTGTAAGCAAAGAAGCAATGTGATCGAAAGTTACAAACTACTAACATCAAATTTACTTACTAATAAATACAATAATAAAATAAGTTAAGAGTTCCAATATACGTATAGTTGGTCTTATAGAATATTACAAACTGTTTATAGTTATAGTTTACTTACTTTTTTATTGCATTATAGTCTAATGACTAATAGTTAAATAACTATGAATATCAATACTACGTACGTTATAACTTTTATTTAATTTAATAGGCARTATGTAAATCGCAAATGTTTATGTTAATATTATGCATTGATTTTCAAAATAAATATATTGGATAGTTCAATAACCTCTATTAGAATTGATTTTGAAAGAGTTTTTGACAGTATTCTAATACTCAAACTGAAATTGAATATTTTGATAAAATATAGGTTTTCTTTGTGGTAACTAACTATATTATTATGTAAAGTTTCATCAATTCCGTAAATTAATTTACAACACCRCGAACGCAATGTCTCAATTTTTTTTAGGTAACCTTATTCATTACGATATTATGCGGTCGGCAAAGTGTTGATTATCAACTAGGTAGGTTGTGATTAATGATTAATAATTTTTATTCCACTTATTGTCTGCTTGTTTATCTTATTTAACTTTAATTCGATCTTTTCAAAAATATGACTCCACAGTAGTTTAGTCTACAATATTGTATTATGTGAAAATAGATCATTGGAAAGTTTCCAGAACAGAGTTTTAGATTTTGTTGAGTATACTTTAAAAATAAATCACTCGCCTCTTGTTTGTGAGTCAGTAATGAAAATATTAGACTTGAATATCGGCAAATCCGTTAAAAAGAGATTAGTAAAGACTTTCAAAGGTTTTTTTTTCATATAGCCAATTCAGAAAAGTTCGATATCTATTATACTCCTAACGCATTGAACTAATTGGGCTCTAACAGTAGACTATATAATTATTCAATTTCAAAACATTTCCCATATCCAGATCTAATTTTTTAACAACGATTTCGCACATCGTGTGGTCGCGTTAAGCTCAAAACAGTATAAACGCTATAAATTAGTTTATCTCACAACCGCATTGCTCATCCTATTTATTTTTATTTCAGAGATTCTATTCAGAATTTCTATTTGACTGTTATATTATTTTTTTTAATTCATTTTTATGGTATTATATTTTTTATTAGTGTTATTACTTTTAAATGTTTTTGGTTATTGATAAAATTACGCGTATTTTACACTTCAGTAAATTCACAAAATGACGGTTTGTCGTAATTAAAAATTAATATATACAATTATGTCTGCGGCAAACTGCAGTTGTAGTATGGCAAAAGCATTTTTGGAGAAAGGCCGTTCAAAAATTGTTAAG